GCTGAAGTCGGACACTTAACCAACTGAGCCACCCAGGTGCCCTGTAATAAAGATTTCTTAAATGGCTTCTAAGTGCTGGGTCTGGGAACACAAGGATAAAAAAGACAAGAAAACCCCTACATTAGTAGCAGGAGGCTGGCTTATTACAAAAAGCATTAAAAGTGTTTCAGTAGGTTATGGAAAAAAATGTTGTGTTGAGGGTGGGGAGGATAAGTGAGTGCTGATCTTGTGTTCTAAAAGTTCCAGTACAGAGGTGCCTGGTAGTCTTAGTGGAGCATTTGACTCTTGATCTTGGGGTTGGGAGTTCAAGCCCCAAGTTGGGTTTGGAATTGCTTAAAAATAAAATCTTTTAAAGGGGTGCCTGGCTGGGTCAGCCAGTGAAGTGTCTGACTCATGATATAAGCTCAGGTCATGATCTCATGGTTCACAGGTTTGAGCCCAAAGTTGGGCTCTGTGCTGACAGCGTGGAGCCTGCTTAGGATTCTCTCTCTCCCTCTCTCTGCCTCTTCCCAACTCCTGTACTCTAGCACACACTCTCTCTCTCCCAACTTTAAGCTGTATATATAAAATATAAAATCTTAAAAAAAGTAAAAAAAAAAATGAAAATAAAAGTTCTAGTACGGTCCCAATTTCAAGCATTGTTATTCCACAGAAAGTAGTGGAGGTTTTGTTATGTGGCAAGCACTGTGCCAGGTGTTACATTTCGACATGGTCTCTGGCCTTGAGTTCACAGTGAAGAGACAGAAAAGAGATTTTGGACCACACCAATTTCAAGATGAGAGCATCTGATGAACATGATCCAAGTACTAAGGTTTATGAAAATAAAGACTACTGAAATAAGAACAAATGAGGCCCTTTATTCAGAGCTTGCTATATAGCAAGGGCATCAGCCACTGTCACTTGTCATCCGCATCTCGCAGAGACCCAGGCAGGGGGGTGGGAAAGCTTTATAATGAACAAAAAGGAAGGACTCAGGTGTGCTGATTGGAGGATGTTGGCATAGAGAAGCTGGAAGCAGGCTACCTGTCAGCTGGGTATCTTACGCGATTTCTTTGGCTTTCTGTGGTTGTTCTTGAGTTGAAAGGAAGCACAAGAGAGAAGTTACTGACCTGGTCCTGACTATTCTGGGCCTGCTGCTGCAGAGGTTGTGGGTCAGAGTGTTGCTATGGTATATGGTCTGGCCATTGACTATTTGTATACGTAGTCTCTGGTTGGGCACACAGGTCAGACTCAGGGAGCTGGATTAGGATTCAACCATGTCTCTCATAAATACCAGCACCATTACGCAACCGTGTCTGGTGTGGTGCCTCTGGAAGCTCTTTGGGGTCAAAGCTCATCTTGCTCATCTTTGTTTTTTTCAGTGCCTGCCACATTGCTGATGTTCGGTGGATGCCTGTTGAATCTAAAGAACAGATAATGGTGAGGCCAGGGAACTTCAGAAAAGGATTTCCGAAGGAGGGGATTCCATTTAAGCTGTAATGAACGTGAGGTGGGTGGCTAGATGAGGAGCAAGGGAGAGCATGCTAGAGGTGAGTTACTGGGGCCGAGACTGGGGTATACTGTGGCCTGTTTGGGGTCTGCAGGTGCTGCCAGGGCTGGGTCAGGGCTAGAAGTTAGGGTAGTGATGGGATAGAAGGTGGCTAAAATCCAAAAAAAGGAATGGAGGTGCCAAATGATGAGAGAGCTTTCTTTCTTTCTTTCTTTCTTTTTTAAAGTTTATTTATTTTGAGAGAGACAGAGAGCGGGGCAGAGGATCTGAAGTGGGCTCTCGTGAACCTCGAGATCATGACCTGAGCCAAAGCTGGACGCTTAACCGACTGAGCCACCCAGGCACCCCGAGAGAGTTTTTATTACATGCCAGAATCATTAATATTATTGAAAGGCATTTCCTTTGAGGAATTTAAAATTGAAGAATTGTAGGCAAGAGGGTAATATAATGAAGTGTGTGTTTTAAATAAATTAAGCTGTCACTAGGCATGCATGGAGAGAGAGAGAGATGCGAAGTTGATTTCAAAATAGTTTGGGAGAGAAGATGGGACTTAAACCAAGATGGATCAGAGAGGAGAGATTAAGACGAGAGATGTTTGTTTCTTGGACTCTAGACTTGATGAATGATTTCAAAGGGGACAAGTTTAGGGAAAGGAGGAGTTAGGGATGACATCTGGATTTGATAATTTGGCAGCTGAGAGGTTGTTAGTGCTATTCACCAGGAAAACAGTTTCAGTGGGAGATTTCAGTTATGGACATGTTAAGCTTGCACTGTTTGGGGAACACCAAAGAGGGGGTCCGGCTCAGTTCAGTAAACATTCATTGTGCAACTAGTATGTGTCGGGCACTGTTCTAGATACTTGGTGTGTTAGTGAACAAAACAAAGATCTATCATCTTCCTCCAGCAAGAGGAAACAGACACTGATCATCATAAGTAAACCTTGTATTAGCACATGATAAATTCTATGGAGAAAACTAGAGCAGGATGGGGATCAGCAGTGTGGTGGGCGTGGGGGGACAAACACCGTCTAAAATAGAATGATCCGGGTGGGCCTAAATGAGAAGGTGAGATTTCATCAAGGACATGAAGGAGCTGGGTGTCTGGCGGTAAGATATTGCAGGAAGGGTGAAGTGAACAGCTATACAAAAAGGCCCTAGGGCCAGAGAAGGGGAGAGAGAAAAGATGGAGGCCAAAGAGGTAATGGGGGTGGAGGGGTAATGATACAGGCCTTTGTAGACACTTGTAGGGACTTAGGCTTTTACTAAACAGGGAAGAGGTTTCAGGGTTTTAGGCAGTGATTGCATCTGGCTTAAATTCAAAGTGATTGCTGGTTGCTGTGTTAAAATAGATTGGGTGTGGGAGTGTGCAGTAGCAAGTCGTTTCTAGGACTGGAGAGATCTCAGATGGAGATACAAATTTCCACATCCCTGTAACAGAGGTTATAGAAACGCTTCAGATTCATTTTGGGGACAAAGTGGGGTCTAAAACACTTATTTAAAAGAGGTCCTGTTGTTGAATTTCCAGGAGTGAGTGATATCAGCCAGAAAGAAGTCAAAGGCTTTGTGAAGCGGGCAAAGAAGGGGTGTTACTGCTGGGGGCAGGTGCCCGGGATTCCATGGGGTTGCAAGGGCCGCGGATGACTCTGCCAAGCTTCTGCTCTCCTGTGTTGCAGTAAGCACCTACACCTTGGTGGTGGGCCCACTCGCCTTTTGCTTTGCGCGGATCCAGCACAGGAGGTGCGCGGCGGCGCTCAAAGCGCGGCACTGAAGAGCTAATCTAGCCGACAGGACAAACACGAATAAACAGGTGGAGGGATTACTGACGAAATCATAGCGGACTGTCGCCCGCTGGGCTCTTCTCTGCTTGGCTCTCACCAAAAGCCCGCGCCTGAGGCAGAATCCACTGCACCTACGCCGCAGCGCCCTGGTTCGGTTCCCTCTGTGCTCGAGCCCCAAGCTCCACCTAGAGAGAGGGAAAAGGCCCGCCCCCATAGAAGCACCAATCCCGTTCGGTGTTCCTTTCTCATCTCCAATTAGCTTAGAGGGTGTGGTCGTCACGCCAGACTCATCCTACCGTCGATTGGCCGGCGTCTGCCTGGTGCGAGCGGTCCTAGCCAATCAGAGACCGTCAGTCCACCCCGCGAGCCCACGAGAAGCGGCGCGAGAGCCAGGGACGCGTTGAGATGGGCGGGATGTGGGCGTGGCATCATGAACTGGGCCCGCCTACGCCCCGCCCCACCCGCCGCGCCTCTTGGCTTTAATCTTTTGCTGTGTGCGGGCGGGTGTCCACCGGAGGTACACCGGGAGGTGAGCACCGATCCCCGGGACCCGCCGCCCGCCGCCAGAATGGAGTTCGTGAAGTGCTTGGGGCGCCCCGAGGAGTTCTACAACCTATTGCGCTTCCAGATGGGGGGCCGGCGGAAGGTGATACCCAAGATGGACCAGGTGGGCCGAGCATCCCTGCATCCTGGCTGGGGCGGGGCGGCTGCGCGCGGCGCCGGGCCTGGGGCCTGGCCGACCAGGCCCAAAATCCTGGGCGGAGGGTGCGGCGAGCAGGTGCCAAACGCCTCAGGCGCTCTTCTTCCCTCGGGGCGACAGACCCCCTCCCCTTCTGGCGGCCCCACCGGCCCAGCCTAACTCTGCTTTCCTAACCCCAAATGGGGCCCAGGTGGTAGGCCTCCTCTTCCCACTCCAGCCCTACCCCAGGTTGTCTTGATGTTTCTGCTCTTTCAAGACATTGCTTGCCAGGTCGTTTTTCTTCACTTTTCCTTCTGTCCTTGAGCATTGATGTTATCTGTGTCTTAACTGGTGATTGCAAAATTGAGATTGTGTGGGTAGATTAAGTGGGGGAGGACCTGTGAGAGAATTTGGTGAATGTAAAAAGCTATGCAGATATTGTCCCAGTACCTTTTCTGGAATGAAACCTTGCTCATCCTTCCAGTTTTCGGTTACATCACTTCTTCTATAAGCTTCCCTCACTTTCCTTGGGTCTGATCAATCCCTTATTCTCCAGTGCTTCTTAGGTTTTTTTTTATAACACATATTTACTCTTCCAAGCTCTTTAGTTACCTGCATATCTGTCGTTTAGCAACATTGTTGGTTGCTTGAAGGCCAGACTTGGTTTTATTTATTTATATTTCATCTGCCTCATTCTTGTATCCTTTGTTAACTGAATGCTTACAAAGGTATTTATTCCAACAAGAAACTTACTCTTAAGTGATTAGTGGATGAATAAATACATTCAGCCGAATTAGTGGGTTGTATCAAAAGTTTTAAATTCTTTTTGCCAATGGAAACATCACACATACCATCTTTTGCTTAAATGCACTCTTAATTGGTGTCTTTTATTAAGTAAACGCTTTAAATTTCCCATCAGAAAATTTTTTTTCATAACTCAGGATCCATGCCATCCTTCAGGGTCTAGCTTCAGTCAGTGCCACCCCTAGTGACCATTCAGCAGACATTTTTAAACACCTGTTTTGTGCTAGATGTTATGGTGGGTGCACGGTGGCAGGATGTCATGCACAGACAAATAGGACACACAAAATGCTCCCCATCTTGTCAAGTGAATAAGACATTGTAAGACTGTTCACAGAAAATTTAGAAAAGCACCATAACAAGTTACCTATGAAACTCCCTCAACCATTTTCTCTAGTACTGCTTACCTTATATCGGCCCCACGGTCTTGAATGGTGGTCCCCAGATCCCTTTCAGATCCAAGATTCTATATTTGATTCTGGATTTTTAAGCTATTTGGATGTGGAAATCTTGTTCGATGTACCTTTGGTGAATTAATGAATAAAAGGTGGGTGCACTACCCCCAAGAAACCTCTAGCGTTTTAAACAAGATAAACTTAAGTAAATGTGGCAGAATATAGTAAATGCATAAGGACATTTATAAAAGGGAAAAATCACTTGTGGGTGGGACAGGGGAGTCCTTTTTTGAGGGATGCTCCTGTGCCTTGTTCAGTAGGTATTTAATTAGAGATTCTTACTGAGAGTTTTTGGAGCTTTCCTGAAATTATTTGCAAACATTTATGTTAGTGTACATTTGTGTGTTTTGAGAGAACAGTGTCCACTATTATCCTATCCTTCCAGGGATCTGTGACCCAAAACGCATAGTCACTGCTTTACAAACCAGTTTGTACAGTCTCCTGGGCACTACCTGTGACAAGTAGTTAACTGCCTCTGGAGACTTGCCCACTTCACCCCCCAGACATTTTTCGATTTTAGGAAGTGCTACCTTCTAGTACAGTAAGTGGGATTGTTTTCATTCTGTTCTCCCCCTGGAACCAGGGTCTAATCCATGTTTGTAATCCAGCACTTGACATCTTTTAAGAGAACTCTCCTGTTCTTAGGAATACTGATAGCCAGGCCAAATATTCTATGTTCTTCCTTTAGTTATTCATTATATGTTATTCTTTCCAGATCATTTACCAGCCTGTTCTCTCTCCCTTTAAAGTCTAGTGTCCAAAGTTGAACAGTACTCTTTTGGGTTGGTCTGCGCATTTCAGAACTTTAAATTCCTTCTTTATGGATGCAGTATTTCTATGTAACATAGTTGAAGACTGCTTTTGCTTTAAAAAATGTATTTTAATTATAAAATATTTCAAGCAAGTAGAAAAATACTGAAAAAACTCTAACAAACCATTTTCTATTTCCAAGATTAACTATATCGTATAGTAAGTGTTTGCTATATTTGCTTCATCTTTTTTTTCTTAAGAAATAAAAGGGCCATATACAACTAAAGTCCTTTTCTCCATCTTACCTCCCTATCACATTCACTGTCTTTTTTAGGCAGTTTCATCATGCTGTGGGCTTAGAATTGGGGTCAGTCAGATTCCTAATTGCACTTGTTCAAGACCTTTTATTCCATCTTGATGCCCTGATGAAACACTTCAAAAAAAAATACATATATATATATATGTTTTATTTATTCATTTTTGAGAGGTGGTGGAGGAGCAGAGAGAGAGGGAGACAGAATCTGTAGTGGGCTCTGTGCTGACAGCAGAGAGCCCAATACGGGGCTCGTGACCTGAGCTGGAGTCCGATGCTTAACCGACTGAGCCACCCAGGTGCCCCTGTGCTGAAACACTTTTTAAACCTAGATCTTTACCTTTTAGATAAAGGGTTTCATAATAATGGCTAACGTTTATTGAGCTCTTTGTGTGTGCCAAGCATTATTTTATACACCTCCTTGCATCTATTTTTTAAACCTTCCAGTAATCTTATGAGGAAGGTACTGTTATTTTTCCTGTTTTATAGATGAAGAACAGAGACATAGAGAGGTTAATTAATTGCCCGAGGTGTAGTTATTCAGGGGTGGAGCCTGTCTTTGACTCTGGCTGTCTGACTGCAGAGCTCATTCTCTAAACCCCACCATGCTGCTTATCAGTCAGGTGATGGACCACAGAGACGCCTCAAACAGAGGATTATCCAGATTCAGCTAAAATTGACCCACTTGAGTGTGATGGACACAGGGTGGAAAATGCCCACTCTGATGTGTTCACAATCTAATGGAGAATAGGTGTACAAAAGTAAGATAGCCTAGGGAGTGCCAAGTATTCTTAAGTACATTTTGATTTCAGGAAAATTTTAGTGAAATTAGAAATGTTTTAGAGGGAAAAGTTTTCAGAAAACACAGGAAAAGTACTTTGTAAAGTGTTAGATTTAGTTTAGTGGGGGGGCGCCTGGGTGGCTCAGTCGATTAAGCATCCGACTTCGGCTCAGGTCATGATCTCACGGTCCGTGAGTTCGAGCCCCGCGTCAGGCTCTGTGCTGACCGCTCAGAGCCTGGAGACTGTTTCAGATTCTGTGTCTCCCTCTCTCTCTGACCCTCCCCCGTTCATGCTCTGTCTCTCTCTGTCTCAAAAATAAATAAATGTTAAAAAAAAAAAAAATTAAAAAAAAAAAAGATTTAGTTTAGTGGGGAGGATCTTCAGTAAAAGCTACCATGAGCCAGGTTATATAGGACTAAGCATGATGTGTGTGGGATGATGAGGAAACCAACTTGGCTGAAATGATAGAGTGAAAGCTAGAAGTATAAAATTCATTAAGTGCATGTGGGAGTCCAAAAGCTGAGCTGTGATCAGTAAAGCAGGTGATGGTTAAGAGCAGAACTATGACACAATGAAAGCAACATTTTTGGAACACAAATTCAACAAGTGGGTGGGATTGGGAAGAAATTATATTGTGAGTTAGAATAATCAAATTAATAATGATAATAATTACCTAATAATAGCAATGGACATCATTTATTGTGTTCTTGTGTTTGCCAGGCACTACGCTGAGCTCTTCAAGCCTGTTATCTCAGTGTATTAGGTTAGCTTTTGCTGAGTAACAAACCATTCCAAAACTGAGGGACTTAATTCTGGAGACTGGTTACACACCAATGTGAATGTATTTAACACTGCTGAACTGAACACTTAAAAATGGTTAAGGTGATAAACTTTATGTATATTTTACCACAATTTACAAAAAAACTCAGTGACTCAAAATATCAACAACTTTAGTTCATAGTCATCTGGGAGAGCTCGGGAGTTCTACTAGTCCGGGCCAGTTTGGTTGATTTCTTCTGGGCTTGCTCAGCTGGCCGGCTGGCTTATGGCTGGGCCATCTGGTGGTTAGCAGGCTGTAGGCTGCAGTGTTAAGGGGAGACCGGGCCATATGTGTCTCATCATCCAGCAGGCTAGCCCTTGGCTTCCGCATGGCAGCTGGAGTTTTCAAGCCTCTGTTGGAATCACATTTGCTACTGTTTTATTGACCAAAAATAGTCACAAGGGAACCCAGGTTCAAGGATGTGGAGGAAAACTGTATCCCCTGATGGAAAGAGCCATAAACTCCTGTGGCCAGTTTGTAACTCATCACACTTAGTCAATCTTGACAACAGCCCTAAAGTGAGAAGTATTATTATTACTGCTATTTTACAGATTAGGAAACAGTGGCATAAAGCAATCAGATAAATTCAAAGTCACCTGGCTTGCAAGAAGACATCCTGGCATCCAGGATGCCAACTCAGGCTAGTCTGAAAACTTCCATGCTTCTAGTTTGCCCTCGATGAAGAGCTTAGGTTTGACTGGCCTCAGATAGCTGATTAGATCCCACCACTGTCACTCCTGGCACGTCCCAGATACTCTATAATTCCTAGTTCCTTTCTTCCCTTCTTAATCTGATGTAGATTAGCTTCCTTCCCTTTCCTTTCCTTTCCCCCTCTCTCCTTCTGTCCCTCTCTCTCTCCCTCTCTCCCTCCCACTCTCCCTCTCTCCCTTCCTCTCTTCCTTCCCAAATATGTGACCACCAGTTGCATGTCAGATATCATTTTAGGTGCTGGAGATATAACAGCAAACAAGATAGGTGAAGACCTTGCTTTTATGAGCCTTACTTACATGCTAGAGGAAGAGAGAGCGAATGGAAAAAAGCAAATACAGTTCACCCTTGAACTACATGAGTTTGAACTGCACAGATTTACTTATACATGGATTTTTTTGATAAATGCAGTACAGTACTATAAATGTATTTTCTCTTATGATTTCCTTTGTTTATTTATTTATTTATTTTACACGTGTATTTATTATTGAGAGACAGAGAGACACAGAGCATGAGCAGGGGAGGGGCCGAAAGATGGAGAGACACAGAATCCGAAGCAGGCTCCAGGCTCCGAGCTGTCAGCACAGAGGCCAAAGCTGGGCTCGAACTCACAAACCATGAGATCATGACCTGAGCCGATGTCGGACACTTAACCGACTGAGCCACCCAGGCGCCCCATTAAGTTTGTTTATTTTTGAGAGAGAGAGAGAGAGAGATAGCGCTAGTGGAGGAGGGGCAGAGAGGGGGACAGAGGATCTCAAGCAGGCTCTGCTGTGCTGACAGCAGAGAGTCCACTGTGGGGCTCGAACTCACACACTGAGGTCATGACCTGAGCTGAAGTTCGATGCTTAACCAACTGAGCCACTCAGGTGTCCCCCCCGACCGTAGGATTTTCTTAATAACATTTTCTTTTCTCAAACTTACACATATGACATACGAAATTATTTGTTAACTGACTTCATGCTATCCGTAAGGCTTTTGGTCATCAGTAGGTTAATAGTAGTTAAGGTTTTGGGGAATCAAAAGTTATATGCAGATTTTCTACAATGTAGGGGTTAGCACCCCTTACCCCAGAGTCTAGAGACTTGACTTCTCTCATTCTCAAGTCTCCTCTATAAAATAAGAGTGTTGGAGAAAATGGTAGCCTTGGTTATTCCTAGAGAGAGAAGTGGTAAGGAGGTAGGAGAAAGACCTTCCACGCTGTAATCTCTTGATTTTCTTTTTAAGTGAGACTCTTCTAGCTCCAAGATTTGATGAACAATACAGTATAATATTAGTTTTGTTGCCTGCAGCTTTTCTGAGTCCTTTTTAAGCCCAAAGAGCCATTAAAAAAGAAAATAGTTAAATAGAGGAAACATAGGACCATACGTTTTCCTTAGCTTAACATGATCTTAGTTTCTCTCTTAATTAACAAAGAAACTGGGGGGAAATGTACACTTCATAGATATTGATGGCTGACTATTTCTGTCACAAAAGGATTTGGCTGTAGGATTCAGGGTTCAGTAAACTTAATTTATACTGAATTTTTAGGAGCGTTTCAGTAAATAGGGACTTGCTGCCACCTGCAAGTTGTATGACATCACTTAGAGGGGCACATAGTGGAAAAAACAGATGTTTCATAATGATGCATTTCTGGCTTCTATCAAGTCTAAATCCTGACTCTTAGCTGAATAACTTTTGGTAACTTAAGCTCCAGGCAGCAGTTTCTTCATCTATAAAGTAGAAATATTGATCACAGGCCCTTGGCCACAATTTCCCAACTGGCAAATGATCTGAAAATGAAGAGCGTTTTCATAAATGTGGCTCAAAATCATTTGGCAGCAAACCTGCCCTGAATCAAAATGATCCTGGCTTAATATATTCACACTGCTGTGCAGAAGAAATATTAACAATTAATTATGGGACGTTACTCCATAACAACTGAGGCTGTATGTGCCTCTTATTGCCTGCTTTCTACAACACTAAAAATTCTGAATTCTGCACGCATCCGGCCATGAAGATTCGATGTAGGTGGGTGTAGGTCTGTAATATCTTCCTTAAAGCGTTTTGTATGGGTAAAAGGTAATGTCTGTATTGTGCTTAGCATGTAGTATCTGCCCAACATATGGTAGTTATTAATCTTATTGTTACATAAATTTGGCTCCGTGTATAGGGTTTCTCCCTATTCTGAGCGATCTGTGTTAAAGTCTTAAGGAAAGCTGTCAGAAGGGTTGGTAGCTTGTGGAACTTGAGGCTGGAGCCCCAGTCCTGGAAGCTCAGTCTTGCACTTCTGGCCACTGCACACTCTTCCTCCAAATGCCCTTCATCCCTGTTTTCTCTTACTTGAGAGTTCTCTGGAGTGTACTTCATCTCAGACAGCAATGGATAATGTCAGGAGGCTCTAGGGACAGGCAGCAGTTAGCCCTAGACTTTTTTTCCACCCTCCCCTGCCTGCCAACTCATGTGAATCAAGCAGTGGAAATTTTTGTAGTGAGCAGAGTTTTTTCCAGTGTATAGTAGTTAGAGCTTCCTATATCTTCTTGATAATTTGAAGAACTTACTGTTCAGAGCGAGGAACTGAAACAAATAGGTGGCCGAGAAAGAATGATGGAAGGAGATAGGGAAGGGAGTTATTGACTTTGTTTTAAGAGTGGAGGAGGTGTTGGTAAGGAGGGGTAGTATTCTTTAAGGTTGCTGCTGTCCAGCTTTTTAATGGAACTCATGGTTAGAAATCAGCCCCAAAGCCATTAGGTATAGCTGAGGATTAAAACATTTGGCAGTGCGGAGAAAGGCATCATTGTGGCCTGGTAACAACAGTTTATGTGGAGAGCTTGCCATGGAGGTCAGGAATAGCTGTTGTTCTGTTTCTTTTGTTTCATTGTGAAGCCTTGCCTCTCCACACTTGAGAGGGAAGGAGTTGGTGAATGGTTTTTAAATACTCTGAATGTATTCATTTATTCATCAAACCTTCACTGAGTATTTTTATATGCCAGACACTGCACTAAATGATTTTACTAATATACAGTACTGAGTAAATATTAATTTTTATTAATAATTAAAGTTTTTTAAAATGTT